CTGTAGAGTTCCACCGAGCTCTGGCACTGCATGCCATTCCTTGAGCACAGGTTATTGATGTAGGTAACACCCATCTTCTTCAGATGGCCCAAGGGACTTGTTCTTAACATCTTTGGTCTTTGTACCAGAGTGAGCCTGTGTTTCCACCACAGTCAAGATGTAGATCATCAATGGCCACTTTGTCCTGATTCAAACACCCTTGGGGCCAGTACCTCCTAGTGAGTGTTGTCCCCCCCCCACCCAAACCTGTCCTGGATTCCCCAGATGTTTGGTTATGTCTTCTTCAGAAGACCCTGCCCTGCTGTCCTGATCCCTTCTCTGCCTCCTTCACTTCCAAGAGATTGTCATTCCAAGAGACTCCATTCCAAGAGTGTTGTCATTGCTGAGCTGAGTAGACACTTGGCTTGACTTCTTTGCTCTTGAGCGTAGATTTGCGGGTGTCAGCCTGGTGTCTTCCTTTCTGGGAACAGCTGACATAGGCTTGTGCCCTATGAGCTGGAGTAGGCTATGTGGTGCTTTTGGGTACAGAACGAAGTCAGAATATTCCTATAGGCAGTTGGAGATGTCCTGAGAGGAAAATGAATTGGGAAGACTGTTCTGAGACTCCTGAGAGAGGTGCCAACAAGGCCTGTAGTTGCTGTGGGGGGAGGGGGGGGAGTCTTACCTCCAGCAGTGAAGATCACTGCTGTCCAGGCCCCATCAGGATATCCCAGAGACTTTTTTGGGCCTCTGTCTAGTGCTTGCTGGGCATGTGGTTAGAGACTTCTGGCATCCTGCTGTTTTTCCCTTTTTCTCCAGAACCCTACAGGCAGAGGGCAGTGGACTTGTGTGGGTGGATTTGCACTGGCCCCAAGGGTCTGTTTTCAGAGTTCCCATTATCTCTGTTCATGTACACACATACTCACATAGAGCTCTGCATGCTCACACATTTGTGCACACACACACACACACACACACACACACACACAGCCCCTGATTGCCTGATTGATGAGAAGAAAACACTTCCCTTGTCATCCCTGCCAGTATCACCCTCACTATGCCTGCTCCAGGCCTTCAAGATAGGCACCCTCTCCTTAAAGTCTGGCCTCACAATAAAACAGGAACTATAACCAGATACCCATCACCTGTGGGAAAATTCCTCAGGCTCCCTCTGGCCACCAATTAAGGTTTAAATCTACCTGTTTGGTGGCAGGACAGCCAGTGATCATCCTTTAGAGATGTTAGTGTCGTGGCTGATGCAGAGTCCCAGCCTGAGAGATACCATGGTACCATGGTAACCCCCCTCTGCTGCCTGTTGATGCTGATGTTTAGTAAACTGTTCTCTCTCTCTCTCTCTCTCTCTCTCTCTCTCTCTCTCTCTCCTTCCCTCCCTCGCTCCCTCCACCCCTCTCTCTCTTCTGTCTTTCTAGACCTTAGTATCTCATCCATGTTTGCTTTTCAGTAGGGCCTCTGAAGAGATGCTGGGTAGCTTGTGTCCTGGATGAAAGTGTGTCAGAAGAGATCCAACCCTAAAAGCCAGGTTGGGTGGAATACGGAGCAGGATGAAAGATGTGGTCCTGGTGGGTTCTCTGCCCATGCTCCCCTGACTCTGCAGAGATGCTAAGCTCTGTCCCATGCTCCAGGGTCATGATAGTCATTGAACATTGGCTGCTGTGATGGTCAGAGGGACTTGGTGTTGAGTTCACCAGGAAGAGGCTCAGCTAGACCCTGGGGCATTGAGTAGGTGCTTCTAGCATACTAAACAGACTTGGCTATTGCTTCGGGGCCATTTGGCTCGAGAGCCATCCAGGTTCATGCTGATCCCCTCTTCCTGCTGCTCCATGTACCCTCCCCTTTCCACTTTTATCATTTTGGTATGCGTTCCAAATTTTATGAATGACAGCCCAGCCAAGAATCTCCAGTATAAAGCCATTGCAAGATCTAGACAGAGAATGTAGGCCTCCTACCAAACAGTGGCATCCTATCTCCCAGACAGAGCCACAAAGTACCCATGACCTTGGCACTGCCCTTCTACCTGGAAGAGAACATGGCCTGGAAAATGCACTTGCCATTCCTGTGACCTAGACTGAGGCAGGGTGACAGGTACCCACTCCCAGAACATGCCTGCCCACCTTGGGCAGAGAGGCTTTTATCTCAGAGGGCATCTTGCCTGGCGCTCATGAGAAAGGAAGGCTGATCTCCAAGTTGAACATAAGACTCTTCACCCCTACCAAAAGCTGAGTGGTTCATGCCTCGCTCCCCCAGGACTCCAAGCAGATGACGGTTTCTTCAGGGACTTGGGAGCCCTTCCTGCATTCTCTCTAAAAATACATTCTCCACACACTCATTAGGTCTCCTGGGCCCTCAGTGCCCACCTGTGAATGAAGAGCTCTCTCTCCAGAACAGGGGACAGCAGAATGCAAATGTCTCTTAACTTCAGTGACCACCTGGGTGCAGGAGGCTGGGCTGGGTCACAGGCCCACCTCTAATCAGCAGGAAATGCTGCCTTCTCTCCGGCTGCTGTTGGGCCTCCAGTGGAGTGGGCCTTTCTTGAAGTGCTGGTTCCTGTGAGTAGGTGAGGGTCTGAGGAAGTAGAATTCAAGCTAAAAAAAAATTTAAAGGAATAGCCCTGAGGTGGCCACACACTAGATGGGGACATTGCCCCACTCAGACCCCCCAGAGCTCCTGAAGCACTGTCTGTTCTGCTTCCCAGCCACTGGGGGAGGCGGTGGCGTCAGCACCCCGAAGGAGTTAAGCGCTTCATGGGGAACATGGGCTTCCAGTGAGATTTTGTTTGTGAGATTGGCGCAGTTACCAGGTCTGAATAATAAGGTGGCTTGTTAATTATCTCCCCCCACTTCTAATTTACCTTTCTGCCGCACAGGCACTGGGAAGGTTTACGGGGGTGTTCTTTCAAACCTAAACAACGCCGGGCCTTGGGGTGGAGGGAGCTTTGCTGCCTTCATGTTGCTGAGTCCCTGAAAGGATCCCACCAGCCAATTAAAAAGGAACCGTTGGCCACTTAAAACATAGTCATTACTTCTGTGAATGCTGCTAAATTAAATAAGTGTTATCGGAATGATTTTTTTTTCCGAGACTTTGGTTTCTTTTGAAAGAAAACATTTTGTTACTTCCCCAGCCGGTTTGTTTGCAGCCAATGTGGGGAATCTGAAGTCGTTTTTCCTTGTACTTGAAAGTTCTTGTCTCCCTGGAGGCTTCTGTTTCACCAGCCAACCTCAAGGAGCAGGGAGGGGCGTGGGACACGGCTCCTGGGTGACTTCCACAGGCAGCAGACCAGTGGCAGGATGGACCTGGCTTGGGAGGTCTGGATCAGGGGTCAGTACAGTGAGTGAAGGCCCTGCCCACCTCCCTCCTCCACACCTCTGGCTTTTCCTCACTGACTGAGGTCAAATCCACAAGACGGAAAAAGTAGCCATTCAGAGCCTGTGACCCGGTGGCACTTAGCACACTTCCCGGTGTTGTGCCACGAGCCTCTACCTCTAGGTGTGGAACATTCCCACTACCCGTCGGAGAATCGGCACCCCTTAACAGTTACTCCCCCAGCCCCTCTACAGATCTGCCTCTTCTGGATGCTGGGCAGAAGCATGGTATTTGTCTTTCATTTTGCATAATCTATTTTTTATAGTCTTCATGGACAAATCTTGATCATTTGTACTGATAAGACACTGTGGGGTTTCCACCCGTGTGCACACTGGAACATGAGTGAGCCTTTATAGGAAGAGTGTGATTTTTACATTGGGAAAAGAGTCAGGGTTTAAAGACTACAGTGTGATATTTACAGTGTGTACACGTTGTAGGCATTGGGGAATAGTCAAGTCAGGGTAATCGGCATGGTGCCTCTATGGGTGAGGGATGGGGAAAGGGAAGAAGCTGGACAGTTAGATAGGAGAAATGAATGTAGGTATTATGGGCACAGCAAGGTAGCTAGTTAATAGTAATAGGTTGGGTGTTTGAAAATAGCTATAGGATGCCCCCCCAGGCATTCTAGGCATTGTGTATGCTTCTGAGGTCTGTCTGCATTGCAGCAAGGTGAGCTTCATGCTCCTGGTGGATAGACCTTGATGTAGAGAGAGCACAGTCTCATCATTTGCTGCTGCAGGCTCGAGCTGGTCTGGTCTTCTGGCTGCTTGAGTCCTTGCTGGTCTGAAGACATTTGAGGTGCTGTGGGGGTACACACCAGAAATGGGATTGCTTCCCTTTCTGCCTGATCTCCTCCTTGCCCTCTCAAACCTTCTCTGTCCGATAACATCACAGCCTGGTGTGCCCTTTTTATAGTCCACGTGGCTCTGTCTTGATATCAACCTCTGCTTATGATGGACCCTAGAGAAAAACCCATCCCCTCCAGATAAGCTGGAGGCCCTCTTCCTTTTGCTCTGTCCTGTGACCTGCAGCTCAGGTACCGTACCCATGGCCTCAACTATTCCAAGTCTGCCTCGGGGTCACCAGGAACTTGCAGAAACCCCGTCCAGGACTTGGCTACCCCAGTGTGATGGCCAGGGTAGCTTTACGCTGCAGTGGCAGGTCTTAGCAACTCTCGCATGAGCTCAGATTCTAAATGTTCTTCAAAACATCTCAGTTCCCTAGTCTCTGAGGCCATGGACAAGCACTGGAATGAGCCCACATATCACCATCTCATGACGGTCTTGTCTCCTCCATTCCTGTCTCTCCACAGCAGAGCCGGGCATCACATCCTCAGGTGTTGCAGAGATGAAGTTGCCCGCCCCCAACACATCTGGAAACAGTGAACCCATGAGAGAGAGAGAGAGAGAGAGAGAGAGAGAGAGAGAGAGAGATATGTTGGTCCCCAGAGGAGCCTGGGGGAACCTCTTCCCTGGGAGCCACTGGCACTACATGCCTGCTGCCAGGTTTGGGGTGGTGCAGAGATGGCATCTGCCAGGCAAGGGGTAGCAGCTGGAATTCTGCGGGGCCTCCGGTTCCATGAGATCCATATCCCTGGGGAGTCCCCTGCTACAGAGGCTGATGCTACATTATCTCTTTAGGTGACGGTGACGTTGTAAATAATATGTATGAACCCGACCCGGACCTGCTGGCCGGCCAGAGTGCCGAGGAGGAGACTGAGGACAGCATCTTGTCGCCCATCCCTATGGGGCCGCCATCCCCCTTCCCCACCAGCGAGGACTTCACTCCCAAGGAGGGCTCGCCCTATGAGGCTCCTGTCTACATTCCTGAAGACATTCCAATCCCACCAGACTTCGAGTTGCGAGAGTCCTCCATCCCAGGAGCTGGTCTGGGGATCTGGGCCAAGCGGAAGATGGAAATCGGGGAGAGGCTTGGCCCCTACGTGGTGGCGCCCCGGGCAGCACTGAAGGAGGCCGACTTCGGATGGGAGGTGAGTGTGCTCCGTCTGAGCATGATTGATCGTGGTCATTTATCTTGTGTTCAATCTATTTATAAAGCTGGTGCAGCCACTGCCCCAGGCAGGAGGCTCGGTCTGTTGGAGAGAGAGAGCATTCGAATGTCACATTTCCCAGGGTTATTTTATCCAGCGGCTTGCCTGACGTGTCTCAGAAAACATTGCCGTCCCCTCGGACGCCCATCAGCCCCGACGGCTGAGGCACCCTCTTCCCGGAAATGTGTCTTTTATGAGCTCATGTTTTAAAACATCTTGTGCCTCTTACTGGATGGAGGTGCTGACCCACCCTCATTGTGGGAGAGTCGAGTGTTCCAGAAGAGGCAACTTAATGTTCAGAAGCTTTGTTCTGTCTCCATCAGATTGAGGCAGCTTATAAAACAGGCCTGGTGGCCGCACAGTCCCTGCAGACTCTGACATGTTGACACAAGGCTCCTAACTGACCTTAAGGGGGCGTCCACTCTCAGATTGGGGAGCAGAAGCCTTGCCTCTTTAACTTCCTTCTCACATCTCCACAGACCTTTGCGGGGCCGTAGCTCATGTGTGCTAACCTGTGCAGGTGTTTTGGGAAGAATTGTGTGCTAGACCAGAAAGTGCTAAGATCTAGGTGTGCCAGGGGTTGCTCTGAACCAGAAGCATCCAGAGGTGTCCACTCAGGCCATGGGGCACACTGAACCCTGCTTGGAGGGGGCTTGTCAAGGTGGCCTCGTGGGAAGTAAGAATGCCACAAAAGCACGTTTTCCTGTAGGCCTCGGCCTTCCCGCGGCCCACAGGGCTGGTTTCCAGTGGTAGTTTTGGCAGGAAGCCTGCCTGGGTGGAAAGCAGGAATGCAAATCCAGATTCCTTTTGGTGTTTCACAACCTCCACAAGTGCCTGCATCGAGGTCAGTGCCAGGAAGGGCAAATGGTCCAGGGGAGAAAGAGAGCCTGCTAGCCTGCAGTGGTTCCCTAACCGTGGGGCTGGGTGTGGGAGTCAGGTGGGACAAGGGTCTACCTCTGGTCTGTCTGTCCGCCTCTCCCAGCCCCTTGACAACCTTGAGAAAGTTTTCAAGCAGGTCTGGATGTTGGTTCTCTTGTAGAGCGTGAGGAAAGACTTAAGGCCTGGCCTTCTCTCCCTGGCTATTACAGTCTCCAAACTTTGCACACCAAGACTCCACAGCTGCCTAGAAACTCTGATGAGATGTCCTCTTATGCATAGATTCCTCTTCCAGACCCTGGGAAAGTCTGGAAAGATTTCCCTTGGTCCTGCCACGTGTAAGGCCTTTTGGGGGGGATAGCTGTTGGCGGTGGCTACGTCACATTCAGAGGCCATTCGTGTGCTCTCAAAACAGGCTGAGTGCCTGGACCCATGGGTGTCTCAGGTAGAATGAGGTCCCTCGTCTCACGGGGTCTTGTTTAGTTCATTGTCTAGGGTGCTGGGGCTCTCATCTGAGCATGAGCCACCCTGCCTTGTTCTTCAGAGAGCTCGGAGGATCCGGGTGAGAAGCTGTGTTGACCAATGAGGAGATGGGTGAGTTGGGCTTCACAATAGTCCAGCCTGGCAGGAACTATAGCTCAGTAGCTAACTTGCCAATGTCTTCAACCATGAGAGGTGGCAGATGCTAGGGGTGGGGACCAAGGTTGAGATCGTCCTGGGGCTTGACTGGCTGGGCCAGGGAACCAGGTGAGGCAGGAGCGGAGAGGATGGAATCCCACCCTTCCAGTGGGTGCACGCTGTGCTTTGCGGCCCAAGGAGAGTGTTTTTAAACAACATGGAAGTTGAGTGCTTTGGGCTCAGTTGGCTTTGGCTTTGTGGAGGGCCTCTCCACCCTTCCCTGCTGGCATGCTGGAGACGTTGAAGGGTGTTTGTTTAACGTACTTAAAAGATCTTCACTATTTAATCAGTGGGCCAGCTTTTAAACGCTTGGAGGGTAAACAAACCTTGGTAATAGGTAGTTCTTTGGATGACCTTGAAGTGACTTTGTTCTTGTCTGCTCTGCGGCTGATACAGGTTTCTGTTTGATTTTGTTTTTTAAAGAAATGCCCCGTATCACAGTGGCTCCCTGGGTGCCAGGCCTGGTACAGGCTGTCGCTATCATTCCTCAGGGCTTGCTGACTTTTGCAGTGTTGTTTGCTCTCCTTGGAGGCACTTGAAAGTGAGTTGTTCCCCCATTTCTGCGAAGAGCTTTGTCCCATGGTGGTGACCTGACAGCTGACTTTCATGAAAGTGCTCAGAGATAGCTGCCCCTGAAACAGTGTTCGAGACCCACCTAGCACTTGCTTATCTGACCTCGTTTCCTTCGGGAGTTTGGGCAGCCACCACCTGTTTCTGTGACGCTTTGCTGGACTCTGTGTCCTTCCACAGCAGCTGGCCGAGCAGTTAGTTCTGTCCTTGGGATTGGATCCTGGGAGCTGCTGGCGGGACTGGGGTGGAAGCCAGTGTTGTCCAGGGAGGGAAGAGGAGGCTCCTGGGGAGGAAGGTGGACGCTCTCAGTGCCTGGAGTCAAGGATTAAGTCACAGGCTGGACCTCTGGCCATGGAGAAAGCCCTGAGACCCCTTTTCCTCATGGCTTTGCTCTGCTCTTTCCATGTATGAACTATGTCATGACTCGTTCACCGTTCTTTTGTCTTCCTCGAAGTACAGAGGTAGCTCAGCTCAGCAAAGTCAGGGAGTTCTTGTGACCCTCCAAGCTTTTCCTGTCTTACTCAGCCTGCATGCCGTCGCTCCTGAGTCCAGGCAAAGGGGCCTTCAGCCACCCACCTCAGCTGCTTTCACCAGGCGCCCTAGCCACCAGCCCTCTGCAAGTGCAGGGAGAGGCAGAGACCACCAGGAAGCGTTCACGGGCAAGCATGCTGAAGGCTGGGAGCTCCAGTCAGGCTCCGGGCGGTGTGAGGCATGCACGGGTGCAATCGCAGGACGGCCCCCGGATCGCATATGTAGTTATCCACCCTCACCCTCATAATGAAGCTCTGTGAATCAGAGTAATTGAATTTTGTGATCTTTAACATGGCACCCACTTGCTGCAGGAGAGCAAGTGGTGACATTCTTAGCAAAGATGACAGATGGAAGCTAAGGAGGGTCCGTTCTGTTTGGCTTCCCCGAGAAGGGGCCCAGGAGGAGTGGAGTGCATCGGTCTGGGGCCAGTCTGCACTCCAGAGCATGGGTCCTCTGGAGAGGCCTACAAACAGAGAATGACCCTGTGGTCTTCTGGTGGCCAGCTTGAAATGAAGGGCAGACTTACTGGTATCATATCACCACTTGGGATACGCTGCGAGCATACTTTACTCCTTTCTGAGAGCCAGATGATAAGATGAAAGGATGGTTATCGAGGCCTGACGTGGGGTCTCGGGGTGACGAGGGAGGAAAAAGTTCCTCTTTTCCCCCAACATGGGTCAGACAAGGACAACTACACAACCCGTGGATCAGACTACACAACCCTGGGATGGCCTTTGACTTCCTGTCCCTGGTGGCAATGCACTCCTACCTCAGGTGGACCCTCCTTTGACAGAGCAGAGTTAGGGGGAGTTTCAGTGTTCACGTGGGAACATTGGTTAAAGCCCATCCCTCGTCCAGAACTGGCTCTGGAAGCTTCTCTCTTCTTTCCTCTCATGTGTACTGGAGACCTTTCAATGACTCTAAAGCCTCCTTCCCTGGTCGTTTTGGAAGGAAACATGTCAGATGTCCTGGGCCTCGCTGGTGGTTCTGTACATGGGTGTGGGTGTGGATTCAATGCCTGGACATCCCTGTGGGCTTGGTCCCAATTCCCAGGCTCCTCCGTCTGACCACCCCCCACCCCCATGCCCTGCTTACTGACACGAAGCCTTGCACTCACCCTGCCGGTGGGAATAAATCACCCTGTGATTGCATTTTATTGCCCCGAGGTCTGCAAAAGCAATGATTTTGATCATGTGTTGAGTAAATTATGACATTTATCATCGTGCTATTTATTTCACTAATTAAGAGATGGCTGCTGTGACAGCCCAGAGGGATGGGCTGTGGATGGGCTGCTCAGAGGCCACCTGCCCCAGGCAGGGTCTGCAGCTGTGTGCTGGGCTCGCTTGGGTAAGGCAGGCTACCTGGGGAGGCACCAGAGAGGGCTTCACTGGCATCGGCCACTCCTCTCCAGAGTTAGACCAGGTTCTCCTCAAGGATGTCTCCAGAAAGTCACTCTCTGAGATGGTGCTGAGCCTGTGATTGACACACAAGCGTCATCTGCTGAGTGAATGTGTCTCCCAGTGCTTAAGAGGGGTTAATGTGGACTGATGGGGTTTCAAGCCTCTTGAGCATTTGCTCAAGTGGACTGCCTCAGTCCCTGGGGTGAGGGTCTGAATATTAATACATGCATTTATTTGTTCAATCAACAAACAGACCAAGATAACAGGGCACTCTGGGGAGGTAGGGGATATAGCCTGGAGGCCTCCGCCTGCCCCATTCCTCCCTCTGTGCCGCAGTCTTGGGGTCCTCTGCCGGTTCCTTCAGGGTTCCTGAGACCCTCAGACACCTTTGGAGAGAGTCAAGATTTACTGATCACTTAGGAACCCGTGAGTTACCCCAATGACCGGCGATGCTGGGGCTTAGAGGACAATGGGGATGAAAGCCACCCTAGCCCTGCTGTCAGATTCTGAGAAACTTCTGCACATTTAATGTGAGCCTGTCACTCCAAACACCAGCTTTGAATAGCTCGGCTGGAAGGAATGTAATGTGTGCTTAGGTGTGTATGTGTTAGCCATTTCTGCACATTGCAGGGACTCTGAGCCTTTCTTTTCCCGAGAGTAGGGAATGAGAAGTATAAATTTGGGGGGGGGTGGGGTGGTAGAGGGCAATGTTGGGGAGCAGTCTGGATGGTGTCTGTTTCCTGGGGAAGGCTAAGGCAGTGTAGCCTTAGCCTCTAGCTCCCTGCCCCCAAACCTTTCCAGCATGAAGATCTTCTAAGAGACTGTTAAAGCCACGGCAACTTAACATTAGATGGCTGTACCAAGAACCGTCATCTCCAAACATTG